CATCATCAACATCATCATCATCATCACACCATCACCATCATCATCATCATCATCATCATCATCATCATCATCATCATCATCATCATCATCATCATCATCATCATCATCATCATCATCATCATCATCATCATCATCATCATCATCATCATCTTCATCTTCCACGGCCTCCGTCTCCGCCCACTTCGTCGAAGACGTCGTGGTCTTCTTCAGGGTCGGCGGCACCGGCCGTCAGGCCTTCAAAATCTGCGGAGTTGTCATGGCCCCTGCAATGATATCCCGCCCCTAGTCATCACCCTCCTCTTGGCCGCCCCCGACTAGAGATAGCTCCTCCCGCGCCGCCAGACGTGTCGGTGGGGCAGCCTGGGCATGCGCCTTCCTCGCCGCTTCTGATCATGAAGATCGACACTGCAGACAGCTGCGCGGATGGAGGACGATTCGTTTTCACAATGTCGTTCCCGCCTGACCGCTGTACACATTCGCCTTTCAGTCTTCCAGCGAGTACACGGATGGTGATAGGTCCTTTTTCAGAATGTACTTCTCGCCTGAGCACCGCGCGCATCCGTCTTTATCGCCTGACGGCGAGCGCCACGCACATTCGTTTTTTCTTACCACCTGCTGGGAAATCCGCCGGCCCTGTCGGCATGTGTGAGGGGCTTATCCGTTCGAGTCGTCGTCTCCGTCATTCGTTAGTCTGAAGGGCCCTAGGACACACAAACAAATACACACAAATAACATGATTCCCCACATTCTCCTATTTTTTATGGGTTTCTGTCTTCCCCCCCACTTCCCATATTTACAATTTTTTCATGGACATCGACGATTCATTGTGTCTGTGTGTTTCTTTCCCTCCTGATAGTCGTCGTCTCGGTCGTCCCCGTGCCCCCTGGGCCTTCCTCCTCGAGCGCCGAGCCCGTCGCCGCTCCCCCCCCCATTTCCTGGGCCCTCCTCCTCAAGCGCGCCAGCCAAAGCGAAATTGAGCAACGTCGTAACTGACTCGAAGGGAAGCCCCTTCCCTTTGTTCCCTCCCCCGCCGGCACCCCTTCCCTGGGCCCTCTGCCTCAAGCGCGCCCAGCCAAAGCGAAATTGCGCAACGCCGCAACTGGCTCGAAGCGGAGCCCCTTCCCTTTGATCCCTCCCCCGCCGGCAGGGGGGCCCCGGGGTCCCTGGGGGGGATCCCCGGGGAGGGTCCCCGGGGGGCCCCGCCGCTGGGGCCTGCAAGGTGGAGCTCCCCTATGGGGCCACGATCCTCGCGAGGGGTGCGCCGAAGTGGGCGGGGAGACCGAAGTGGGAGGGGTGCGCGGACCCTGCCGCTGGGGCCTTCGGTGGAGCTCCCTATGGGGCCACGAAACGCTGAACTGTGTGGGTGAAACGGATGGGGATGGGAGGAGGAAGGATGGGAGGAGGGAGGAGGATGGGAGGAGGGAGGATGGGAGGAGGGATGGGAGGAGGGAGGGAGGAGGGAGGAGGATGAGGGGAAGGAGGAGGATAGGAGAGGAGAGGAAAGGAGAGGAGAGGAACGCGGATGGGAGGAGGGAGGAGGGGGGGGAGGGGAGGATGGAGGAGGAGGGGGAGGAGGGAGGAGGGGGAAAGGACAGGAGGAGAGGAGAGGAACGCTGGGCGCTGTCTCTTCAAAACGAGAATCCAACATTACAGGATGGCTGGGAAAAACAACTGATTTCCAACTGGTTTTTGAAGCATTTCGGCGTTCTCGCCTCCGCTTCCCGACGCTCCAGGACTGCCCAAAAGGCCCCCTAGATCGCCCCAAGACGGCCCAAGCAGGCTCCAGGAGGGATCCAAAACGGCCCAGGAGGGCCCCAAGACGGCCCAAGACGCCTGCAAGACGGCCCAAGAAGCCCTCAAGACGGCTCCAAGAGGGTGACCAGACGAGGGAACAGAACTGACATTTCGAGCCCTCGGCCCCGAGAGGAACCGAGGAAGAACCAAGAGGCCCCCAAGAGGCCCCAAAGAGGCCCCCGAGAGGTCAGGAGAATGGCTCCCAGCTGTCAGTGCAGCCCGGCGAAGGAGGAGGAGGAGGAGGAGGAGGAAGCGAGACCGAAACAGCCGACGACGGAGGTGGAGGCGGGAGAACAGGCACGGCAGGCCGGACGGCAGTTACCGTCCAGCAGCTGCACCGATGGAGGGAAGAGGTTCTCAACGTGGCGATCTGGCGGTGGCCTTCCTCTAACAGATCGGCCAATGACTCATCCCCAAGTATCCGCAACAATTAGACGGATGGAAGGATGCTCGCCTTCGGCCGTTACATCTCCTTGGAGTCATCATATGGGCTGTGTGGCAAACACTTGGAACTGCGAAGGAACTGCATTGACGACAGACACTTGGGATTGCGCAGAGTTCATGTTCAAACCATGGCTTGCCAAAGATTGCATCGAGTTTTTCCGTTGGCTTGATGCTCCTACCGATTGGATTTCTGACTCGTTACGAGAAGGGTGTAACGCGGATCATTGCCTGTGGGGAGCCCACAGAGAATTCGGAACGGCGGGCCCACAAGGAAGATGTCTGTCAAAGGAGCGCTCCGAATCGTCAAACTTGATACACTGTGGGGACTTATCTAAGGAGACATGGAACGGAAGGTGCATTGCAGCAACGTCGATGCATCATGGGTTTGCAGTCGAGAGTGGTTGCAGAGAACTCCCGAGAGGTCACAAACCTACTCCGAAGGCAACCCGCGCTCCACCCGGAAAGAGGCCATGGAAGATAATGTGCGAGACAACGTGCCAGCCGCGGCTCTTCGGGGTCGGCAAGCTGATTCTGATTCGACTCGACAGTGCTCTAGCTATTCCTCCTCCGGGCCCTTCTGCCCCGTCCTTTCCCTCAAACCTCCCCTTGTTCCTAGCACCGCGCGTGCGAGCGCCCCTGGGCGTCCATGAAGTAGAGGAACCACACCTCTTGCGCCGTGCCGACTCTGTCCAGGCTGTCCGACTTCGGCTTCGGCTTCACCTCAGATCGGTGCTGGGAAGCAGACGGCGCTAGGAGGAAAGGGATGGAGATCAGTGGGAGTCGTGACCAGCTCCGCCTCGTCAACTCGCGCTGTCCAACTGGATTTAAGGGTCCCAAGCCAGCCGAAGCTGGCGCTGGCTGGCACTGTTTTGCCATGACACGCCCAGCTTGTCATGCGCCATGGCCGCGTCGACGCTCCCAATCACAGATTGTTACTGTACCTCCATGTCAATCCATAGGGGGACTAATGTTAAGTCGGGCCTGTCCCCCTACAGGGGGATTTTCGACGAAACATAAAAGATACCCCAAACATAATCCAAAACTAGTGCAACAATAGTCCGGGGACTATGTTCTGCGTATTTTGTTGACCTTTTTGGTGCATTTTGGGGGTATCTTTACTTTTTCGTCGAAAATCTCCCTGTAGGGGGACAGGCCCGACAGAAGACTAATGCTAAGCGAAACGCCTCCTTCTGTACAACGTGTATTCCTTCGGTGCGGGGCCCTCCAGCCAGGCAAAGGTGACTCTGCGCTGCTCGTGCCCGACGGCATACAAAAGTACGTGAGGCCATCAATCATGCAACTGATGGGAAACACATAACAAAATTGAGACTGGCGAGTTACGACCGCTTGAACTAGCCTGCCGCCGAAGGGGGACGACCAGGATGATGCTATGGCTGGAGAGGAAGCGGTGCATGATGACGGGGCCGAGCGGGAGACAATACATCGAAGGATGAAGGTGTAAGGCAACACGGGGTCGAAACAAAAACACAATGCAATGTTCAGAGAGGCATTCTGCCGCCAATGGAACCTTCGGTGCCTTCATGTACGCCGCTGTCTGGTTGTACGTGATCCTCTGCGCAGGCAATGAAAGGTCGTAGGGCTGGAAAGCTACTCCAGATTTCGTAATAAAGGGAGGGGGGTCTCATTTCAGGGGGGGGTCTCTTCCAGGCTATCTTGGAGGGCCTGGGGGGTCTGGGGACGATGTTTTGGAGGGTTCTCTCACGGGGGAGGTCTGAAATGGCTTGTCTTGGAGGGTCCAGACCCCCTCCCTTTTATTACGAAATCTGGAATACGTACCAGCCTAGGAAGGAAGCGTCCCCGTAAACTCAATCGCGCGATCCGTTGCGAGCATTGGCCGCACTGATAACCAATCGCCAGCTTGGTCCTTTGGCACTTCGGGGGTCAAGCAGCTTAGTTTTGCTCGGCCTCTTTCGCCTCCCAGATGCTCCCAAGAAAACCTCGAGATAGCCTTCAGACGGCCCCCGATGGCCACATGACGGCACACGACGGCCAAAGATGGCCCGAATACGGCCCAAGATGGCCCCGCGACAGCCCAAGACTCCCCCACGTCGGCTCTAGGAGGACGACCCGGGGCGCCTTCAGGAGCTAAGAAACATCCTTGAAGCTTACTGCATGATCAAAAGCACATCGACTCATCGGCCTCCAGACGTCCAAGACGGCTCAAGAAGACCACGCGAGGCGCCCCCGATGCCCCTCGGAGACCTCCAAGACGGTGCCTAAGAAGATCCCCAAATGCCCCAAAACAAACCCCAAGAGGAGGCCAAATGGGCCCCGGGAGCCCCCAAGAGAGCCCCGGGAAAGCACTATAACTTACACTTTATAAACTGTTTCAATGCGCGGTGCCTCCCCCTCACAAGGCCCTCTAATGCCAATGGCAAAGCTTTGGCAAAGAAGGTCGCCCCACCGGGGCAAATGAATGCCGCTCGCTCCACGGCGGAACAATTTGGACGCCCGAAATGGGCACGGAAAAAATGGGCACGATGCCCAAGAACAAATGTTGTGCAAAACCGACAGCGGCCGCTCTTGGGCAGGCGGCCTGCTGTCTCGAATAGACAACGGCCGCGCGACGCCGACAGCGAGCCCTGTAATGAACAAGAACTGCTGTTGGACTTCGTATCCATTCTTTCCGTACCCATTGAGGGGCAACGATACAGGGGGACTGGCATAGGGGGGGATGCATCGACCTGGAATCGGCGATCCATCGCCGACAGCTTGGCGATAGGCCTCCGATCGTGAATCCGCACCTTCCTGGGCGGGCTGGGGCTATCGGGCCCCTGTCGGCGATCGATCTGCGATTGGGGGTCGATGCATCCCCCCTATGCCTATCCCCTTATCGTTGCCCCCGACCCATTTCGATCGTCCCGAAGTGAATGCCGCTCGCTCCACGGCACAACAGAGGCCCTGGGAAGCGTGCTGCGAGGCCGCAGGGAGGAGCCGAAGTCGTTCGCCGTTTCCCGAATGCTGGGCTCCCCGAGAACCTTCGCGGCGCCCGTCCAGGGGCGCGGGCGCCCGGTCGACGACCGCGAAGGACCCCCTAACAAATCATACCCTTGAGAAGAGGCAAGGGTCGAAGAATCACCCCATGCAGTTGGGCTTGAATCTGGAGGACACGCGAGAGGACACAATACCTTTCCGAGGGCCACCTTGCCATGAGAATTCAGAGGGCATGCGCTTCAAAACACAGGACGTAAAGGGTATCCTTGATTTGGCAAGGTCAGCCTTCAACCTCGACACCGTGGGGGCCAGAACACGTTTCATACCCTTGGAAAAACAACAGTCACGGCCAGAACACGTTTCATACCCTTGGAAAAACAACAGTCACACACAACCTGCGCTACACACACAAACACACGACCACCCACGCCCACCCACGCCCACCCACGCACCCCCACACACACACCCACGCACACCCACGCCCACCCACGCACACCCACGCACACCCACGCACACCCACGCACACCCACGCACACCCACGCACACCCACGCACACGCACGCACACGCACGCACACCCACGCACACGCACGCACACCCACGCACACCCATGCACACCCACGCACACCCACGCACACCCATGCACACCCACGCACACCCACGCACACCCACGCGCACGCACACCCACGCACACCCACGCGCACCCACGCACCCACGCCACACCCACGCACACCCACGCCCACCCACGCCCACCCACGCACACCCACGCCCACCACGCACACCCACGCTCACCCACGCACACCCACGCACAGCCGCGCACACCCACACACACCCACGCACACCTACGCACACCCACGCGCACCCGCGCACCCACGCGCACCCACGCGCACCCACGCGCACACACGCACACGCACGCACACGCACGCACACCCACGCACCCACGCACACCCCGCACACCCACGCACACCACGCACACCCACGCGCACCCCACACACCCACGCCCACACCCACCCACGCCCACCACGCCCACGCACACCCACGCACACCCACGCACACCCACGCACACCCACGCACACCCACGCACACCACGCACACCCACGCACACCCACGCACACCCACGCACACCCACGCACACCCACGCACACCCACGCACACCCACGCACACCCACGCGCACCCACGCGCACCCACGCGCACCCACGCGCACCCACGCGCACCCACGCGCACCCACGCGCACCCACGCGCACCCACGCACCCACGCGCACCCACGCACACCCACGCACCCACGCACCCACGCACCCACGCACCCACGCACCCAGGCACGCACCCACGCACGCTCGCACGCACGCACGCACGCACGCACGCCACGCCACGCACGCACGCCACGCACGCCAGGCACGCCACGCACGCCACGCACGCACGCCACGCACGCACGCCACGCACGCACGCCACGCACGCACGCACGCACGCACAGACAGACAGACAGACGGACAGACAGACAGACAGACAGGCAGGCAGGCAGGCAGACAGACAGACCCGATCGGGCCCTCGCGAGTCGCCAACCAGGCCGGGCGGGCGCTCTCGTACAGGTCCCGCCCCAGACCCGAAGGGCAAGCGAAACCTCGGGCCCACGCCGCTCGGCAGCGCTCACGCTCGATGTGGTTCGAGGGCGAGATCGGCAGGCATTGCGACGGCCGATATGCGCCGCAAAACCCAGTTGGTCGACTTGTTGGACATAGCGCCTGGCCGCCACAGGGCCTAGCCGCAGCCAAAACAGCCACAAAAAGGTCTTATACTGTTTCTTGTCCAAGAAAGCCCAAAAAGGCCCCAAGTGTGTTCCCAAGATGCCCCAAGAGGAATCCCATAAGGCCCCCCCAAATCCCAAGAATACATTGGCGGGCAAATTTCCTGAATGGGGCTTGCCGTAGTTCCCGCTCTGCAGGCTGCATATGAGCTCCGCCAGGGGTGACAGCTGAAGCAAAGTCACGAGCCCGAACACCCGCAGTCTACCAGAGATCTGCTGTCAGCAGTGCTGAGGGCGTCACTCGTCAGTGTGGCTGGTTGTGTCAATGAAACAGCGTGGGGCATATCCGCACCCTGACAAACATAATTTTCCCTGAAGCTGTTCATCTCCCAGCACACACACACACACGCACAAACATCCCCCATCCCGTATAGACCTCTTCCTTTCACTCCTCCACTCCTCCGGCCCCCGCCGCCCCCCGCTGGCCCCCAGACAATCGAATTTGCTCACTGCTCGCCAGGCCCAGAGCTTGCTCCCCACTGCCTGCCGGTTCGAGGCAAAACTTCTGGACATCATGTGGGAAGGACGGAACGGGATTCCTGCGCCTCCTGCTCCACTTCCCCTGCCGGGGCGGACGAAAGGGGGTGAGCGAATCAGTTCACGTAATTCACTGCTCTTCCCAGCGCCTCTGGGCGCTGGGATGCGAGCCTGTATCGAGAAAGCTGCCTGAGCGGCGGGGCCGAAACTGGCTGCACGCAGACGATTTCGTACCCACTCTTTCCCCATCCCCCCTTCCGTCCAACCCGAATCTCCCGCTCTTTGAGCGGGTCGGCACCAATTGTTTGAAACCGTCTTGGACGCATCTTGGCGCGCGCCACAGGGTGACGCTTGCACGTGCTCCGCCTAGGAGTCGGCCCAGGTGTCTCGAATAGCACGCCGGGCCAAACTGTTCTGACCATCCGCCCGCCGAAGCGCCTGTGCGAGGCAGGGCTGGAGCACATCTGGCGGCAAGCGGGCACGACCACGAAGCCATGCTCGCAACGGTCACCGCGCACAGCATAGCGGAAATTCTTCGAAGTAGATAGATAGGCTCGCGGGCGTGAGACGTTTAACTTCGATGGCAAGTACTCATGGGAGCCTCCCATCCCATCTAGTCCGCTCTTGCGAATCGTCGCTAGTCGACGCTGAATCGACGCTAGTCGATTCTAAATCGACGCTGAATCGGCACTACCGCATCGAATCCCAGACGCTGACCGACGCTGGTCGACGCTAAAGACGAAATTCAGAGGGCATACCAGGCTCCCATGATCTGCGACCGAAATTCAACTGAACGTCTGTACAACCATGCTTCGGGCGCAGGCCTGCGTACCTCAGCGTATACAGTGGAGGCCAGTCTACAAGAGAAACCTTCCACAAGAAACCCAAACCTGAGACCCCAGGACGTCCATTGACCTCTGCTTGGCGTGGGGCACGTCGCGCTCTCCATCGCAAAACCTTCGAAACCCAAGAAACCCAGGGCACCCTGGAGGCGAGCAGGGTGCTTCTCGGCATGGGCCCCCACTGTATTGGCGCGCGGCGCCGAGGCATGGGCCCCCACTGTATTGGCGCGCGGCACCGGAAATCCTCTCCCCTCCATGTGCAGCAGCGGGGGGGGGGCGATCGGCTCCCGCCAGCGCGCCCGATGGTCGGCGGCGGCATGTCCCGCAGCTCGAGGCGCGGGTGCCCGCGGCCCTGCCGCGGGGGGCGCCGACGGGGGGGAGCGGGGGCAGCACGCCCTCCGTCTTCTCCTCCTCCTCCTCCTCCTCCTCCTCCTCCTCCTCTCCTCCTCTCCCCTCCTCCTCCTCCTCCTCCTCCTCCTCCCCTCCCCCTCCCCTCTCCTCCTCCTCCTTCCTCCTCCTCCTCCTCCTCCTCCTCCTCCTCCTCATCCTCCTCCTCCTCCCCCTCCTCCTCCTCCTCCTCCTCTCCTCCTCCTCCCTCCTCCCTCCTCCTCCTCCTCCTCCTCCTCCTCCTCCTCCTCCTTCTCCTCCTCCTCCTCCTCCTCCTCCTCCTGTCCCTCCTTTTCCTCCTCCCTGCCGTGCCCCACTTGTTGGTTATCGGCGTCCCCCCCCCGGATAATACCAAATAATTACTTCTGAAGATGATGGCTTTCAGAGGGGGGGCCTGAGGCACATTTGGCCTTTCGAGCCGTAGTGGAAGGAAGAAATTAACAACTGGTGGCCTGGGCGACGACAGCAATAACGAGGAAGTGGCGAAGAGAAGCGCACTTTATCCCCGAGCACGCCCCGCCCCAAGGAGCCACTCTGCGTTGTCGTGGGCGCGTGACCCCGCGCCAATGGCGAAAGGCGACGGCTGTCCACACAGCCGCCGCAGAAACCCCGACACGACCAAAGCGAGCAGCGACCCCTGACCCCGTCACTGTCGACCATGAAATACCCATTCTGCCCCTTCAAAATCCGCCTTGGCACGCTGTGGAACGCAAGGATGCCAAATGATGCGTCGCGGCTGCGTCAGCGCCCAGACACGCCCCTAAGGCGTCCAAGATGCCGAATCGGCTTCCAAGATGGACCCGGGAAGCCACCGAGGCCGCCAGACGGCCGAAGACGCCTCAAGATGGCCTCAGGACCGCCCAAGAAGCCTCGAAGACGACCCAAGAGGGCTCTAAAGCAGCCTCCAAAGCGAGGCCCGAAGAGGCGCGAATCATGAATGATCGCAGAAGAGTCTGACAGAATTCCGCGCCATCGCTTTTCGACCTCCAGTTGGCTCATGACGAGATTCCGAGAGGCCTGCACGAGGACCTCAACAGCCCGAGGGGGGCCCCTGGAGATCCCAGATCCAAGGATGGACGCAAGAGGGCCTCAGGAGGGACCCAAGACGGCCTGAGAGGACCCCTGACCCCTGACCTTAAAGACTCCCTTCCTGACGGCCGCGAAGGCCCAGAACCCTAAGACTACCCGAGGTCAGCCCCAGAGGGCCCCCAAGCTCAAGACAGCCCAACGACTGATCAAACGAAATCCACGCGCCGCGTGAACTCAGGAGGTGTTAAAGGGCTCGAGATAGAGTCCGAGGAGGCGGCCGAGGAGGGCCCCGTTCCCTGTTCTGACCTCCGCCCGCCCATCCTCATCACCCTCCTCATCTCGTCGGTCCTCGTCGGCCCCTCGTCCTCCACGTCGTCCTCGTCGTCGCCCCCGCGTCGCCTCCTGCCCCCTATCCAACTCTCTGCCTTCCGCTAGCCCCGTCCGCTTTGCCCCCCTTGGTGCGATCGGGGTTCTCCGGGAAGTCCTCGGGGGAGTTCAGGGAGTTCGAGGGGCCCAGCTTGCTCTCCCGGGGCGCTCAGGGGGTTCGGCGGGCTCGGAGCGCCTGGGGGTGGCCCCGGGACCCCGGGGCCCCGTGACCCCGGGGGCGGCGCCCGGGGCTGGCCCAGGGGTGGCCCGGGGGTTGGACCTTGCCAGAAACTCCCGCGAAGCCTCTCCAATAATTATTATGCGCGCCCGCTCGAAGATGAATTTCCAGGGAGGCTTCACGGGAACTTTTGACCGGGGGCCGGGGGGTGACCTTGGGGTGCCACCCCCAAGCGCCCTCTAGAAATTCCAAAAGGGCCGAAGGGTCCCGACAGGGCTGCGGCGATTCCTCCTTCCTCCGGCTCCCTCCCGCCCTCCCCGGACACGCTCTCAAGGGCGAGATTGCGGCGGCCTGGCGGCCGACGTCGCCTTGGCACTGCCTCCTTCCCGCCGCCCGTCTCCGACCCCGCCTTCCCCGCCCCCCCGTAAAACATCATTTTCTGGGTGCAAGAAGCGGCCATGTAAACGTGGAAATGAAAAATACCATGTGCTAGGAAATTGCGCACGCCGCCGCGCGCGCGGTGCATCTTGTATTGGTGGTATGCACTCGGCCCCCTTGTAAAATCGAAAACCGAATGTTCAAAACCCAACGCAAGCATTCATTTCCTGGGTGCCAGATGCGGCAATATAAACGTCGAGTCTAAAAAATACCATTTGACAACAAAGTGCGCGCGCCGAAGCGCGCGTGGTGCATCTTGCACTGGCTTGATACACTCGGCCCCCATGCTAAGTGGAACGCGTCGTCTTCATAACCCAACGTAACAATTCGTTCTATGGGTGCAAGAAACGGACATATAAACGTGGATATGACAAATCCCAGATGCCAGCAAAGTGCGCGCGCCGCCGCGCGGTGCATCCTGTATTGGTTGTATACACTCGGCCCCCGTGTTAAATCAAAATCGCACATTCTCTGGGTGCAAGAAGCGGCCATATAAACGTAGAAGATGAAACATATCATGCGCCAGCTGAGTGCGCGAGCCGCCGCCCGCGCTTCCGCGCGCACGCGCGCGGTGCATCCTATATTGGTTTGATACAATCGGCCCCGTTGCGAAGTTGAAAACTGAATGTTCAAGAACAACTTAACAACTCATTCTCTGATTGCATCCCACCGGCCCCCTTTCATCGGTCAGAGATAATGAGGAGAAGCCAGACGAGGAGTGTGAAACAAATGCACGATCATGGGTTTGTCAAAATTCACGCAGGGAAACAAAGCGGAGGGCATAATGTTTTTTTTGAATCCTTCGTTGGGAACGCTCAAATCTCACAGTAAGCTTCAACATCTCTCTCGCGGGAAACACTCTTCGCGGGAAGATCAAATCTTCGTTGGGAATCTCTCTACGCGGGGAACACTCAAAACTCAGGGAGAACGAACTGTTTTTGAGAATGCCCGGCCACGCGGCACGATGGAAAACGAAAGGGCAGCCAAGGCTTAACCCACGTTGCGTGGTTGAAACCGTATTTGGCGTGAGTATATGGTATTGTTAAGTATTATCCGGAAGGGGGTCGCCGATAACCAACAATCGGGTCGGGCGAAAGGGGGGGATAGCAAAGGGGGGGTTTGAGAATCAGCTCAAGTAGCTGATTCTCCCGGCGCCTCCCGGCGCCGGGAGGCGCCTATGTATCGAGGAATGGCCCCCTCGGTGGGGCCGAAACCAGCTGCATGCAGCTGATTTCGTAACCCCCCCTTTCCCAATCCCCCCCTTTCGCCCGACCCGAAACAAGTGGGGCGCAGCAGCCTCCTCCTCCCCCTTCTCACCCCCGGCGCCCGAGGAGGCCGGCGGCGCGCCCAGGGGGGTGGAAGCAAAGTGGGGGCGGCCCCCTCGGGAGGCCGAGGATCACGAGCGGCGAACGTGTCCGCATCCGCGCCCTCGCGGTCAGGGTTCGGATGCGATCGAAGATCGAAGGGGAGGGGGAGGAGGAGGAGGAGGAGGAGGAGGAGGAGGAGGAGGAGGAGGAGGTGGAGGAGGAGGAGGAGGAGGAGGAAGAGGAGGAGGAGGAGGAGGAGGAGGAAGGGGAGGGGAAGGAGGAGGGCAAGGATCGAGAATCGAGGATCGATGTTTCGCATTATTCAGCTCGCTTTGGGGCCTGTGGGAGCGCTCTCGGGCGCGAGCACTCAATCACGCAAACATGATAACAACAGCAACGACAACAACAACAACAACAAGAACAACAACAACATCAACAACAACAACAACAACAACAATCATTTAAGACTGGGGACACTCCGTTCTCACCAGTGCCAGGGTTTTCATAGGAGGCGGGCAATACCCCCACTTTGTGGGGGGGCCGGTTCAAGCTCTACCAAATTTCCATACGACTCTTCGCCACCACCCACACCCAGCTTCCCGCCCTATGACGTTCGGACACTTCACTTCGTGGCATGCGGACGACCGTGGCTACTATTCAGGGCCCCGCGGCCGACGACGACGGCGTGCGCGCGCGAAGAAAAAACGAATGTGTCCAATATGGTATTATTTGACAAGGATGATGGCCCTGGCATGCGCGCAACCGTTGTTGCAGAAGTTCGAAGCACGTGAAAAAGTTGCTCGCAAGAGCCCGTTTGACAGAAATGTTGAAAAAATATTGGGTTTCCTCAGAAATCCGCAAGAGCGCGCAAGATGAATTTTTGAAACTTTGTTTTTGAAAAACCATTGGGTTTTTCATGTTTTTATGTTAAAATCGCTACGAAAACTAAGGTTTTGGAAGGATTTCATCTTGCGCGCGCGAGTGTGCACTTCGTGTCATTTTTTGCAAAGGATTCTTGAAGTTTGGTTATGTTAGAACAAGACATGTCATTTTATAGTGTTTTTGACAGGGAAAGCGGGCGTCAACAAAACAACCGGATCTGGATGACATCGTTTTACATGAGACTTCCTCACGAAAATGATGAAAATGTGGCTGCGGCCTAGGCGCGGGGGGGGGGCGTGCACCAGGGGGCCCAACAATAATTATTCTTTAGAATTAATAATGTTCAACAACGACAACGACAACGACAACGACAACGACAACGACAACAACAACCACAGCCAATTTGCCATCGTGCGCCATTCTTCCACGTGCCACATGCATCCTTCCGGATACCACGCCCCAGCGCGGAGATTGTTCCTGCGCGCGGGGTCGGATATTCACTCGCCCAGATCTCCCGCCCAAGAACATATTACCACCACCTCTTCCGAGTAACTTCGACATCCACAACTCGGACGGCGCATCGCCATCGCAATCGCTTTGCGCACGCCCCGCATCTCGGAGGAGGAGGAAGAGGGCGAGGAGGGGAGGGAAGATGAGGAAGATGAGGGAAGATGAGGCACGCCGAGCACAACTGGCATCAGCGACGCCACGGTAGAGGCTCCCTCTTCCCGCAGTCGCCACGCCGCGCTGGTTACAGGTGCAAAAAGCCATGGCTGCAGGCGGAGCGCGGAAAGAACGCACTCACAGTCAGCAAATCAGTGGGAAACATCGAATTGATCCTGCATAGAGCCGCATTTGTGCTCCACAGACGCCGCCGCATCCGCCGCCTCAACCTCAGGAGGCGGCTCCCGAAGAGTGGCCGCCTCAACCGAGGGAGACTGCGATAAACTCGCGCCAACGACAGGATCACTTGCCATGCCATGTGTGTGGCCAGCATACGAAGAGATAACGGCCACACACGGCCGCCGCACAACACCCACGTATGATGCCACACACACGGACGCCGCACAACATCCACGTATGATGTAAGTGACGATCCCGCCGCCTCGAACGCGAGGGGGCGGCAAAAAATCATCACCAATTGACGCGGGCTTCGCAAATGAACTCGCCACCTCAACCGAAAGAGGCTGCGGCAAACCGGTATACTCGACTCCCGCGCCCGCCGCCTCAACAAACGCAGGCAGCTGCAAATGATCACCAATTTCTGGGACAAGTGCTTCATCAACCCGACTGGGAAGAGCCTCCAGATCACACTCACTGCGGCCGTCGATGTCGAACTCACCAGCCATCGCTGTCAACATGGAAAGAGGCGCCTCAACAGACGGCGCCACCACCTCTGCACGGACAGCTCCTGAACGGTCAGAGCACACCAACGGCATGACGTAAGTGCGAGCTTTGGGCGACCAAGAGTTAACTTCATGGCGAGCCTCGTCAACTGGAGGCTCAGCCTCAAATGTAAGACGTGAACGCGCTGAGCGAACCCCAAAATGGGGCTCAGCCAAAACCGCGCGTTCTTCCAAAACTGCCTTGATGTGGGGGTGGGGTTGAGGAAGGAAAAGGGAGGAAGAGGAGAAAGGGGGAGGAGGGAGGGAGGAGGAGGAGGAGGAGGAGGAGGAGGAGGAGGAGGAGGAGGAGAAGGAGGAGGAGGCGGAGGAGGAGTAGTATGAGGAGGAGGACGACGAGGAAGAGAAAAGGGCGCCAGTCCATCGTAAAACGGGAGGAAGTCTCGGGCGGGAGCGCTGATTTTGTCGGGACGGGGGATGTCGGCGGCGAGCACTGCCTTGAGTAAAAAAGTGAGAAAGTCTCGAGCGGGAGCGTTGTTGTTGCTGGGGGGCGGCGCCGATGAGAGAAAGAGTAGCGCGCCTGTCCAAGGTAAAACGGGAAGATGTCTCGAGCGGGAGCGCTGGTTTTGTTGACACGGCTGCTTTCGGCGGCGAGCAAGAGCACCGGCCCTCAGTAAAAAAGGAAATCTCGAACGGGAGCGTTGTTGTTGCTGGGGGGCCGGTTTTGGCGGTCCCCCGAACCGCTTGAGAGTGAGCCTCATTTTCAATGAAAATGCAGCCGGCGCCTCGGCGAGAGCGCCAGGGCGCCTGTAAGGGGTCCAATAATAACAATTGTTTAGTAATTGGCATTCAACAACACGAACAACAACATCCGCAACAACACCAACATCAGCACCAACACCAACAACAACCACAACACCAACAACAACACCAACACAAACCACAACAACCACAACAACCACAACAACCACAACAACTACAGCATCCACAACAATAACAACACCAACAACACCACCACTACCAACAACAACAACCACAACAACAACACCACAAACAACAACATCAAGAACAGCAACAACACCAACACCAACACCAACACCGATTATAACAGCAACATCAACAACAGCATCAACACCAGCACCAGCACCAACACCGACAACAACAACAGCAACAACAACAGCAACAGCATCAGCAACAACTACACACACATGAACACAAAGAAAACACCACCACACACAAACGCATCGCGGGCGCGATCCTTCGGATGCGCGGTCGCACGAATACGCTCCGCGCGGGCCATCTGCGAACAATCGCCCCGTATCCGCGGGGTCGCGGCCCAGGGCCCGGCCCGCGAGGCCGCGGATACGGATATGGTCCTCGCCCACGAGAGCACAGGGCTGAACCTAAACGGTGTTTTTCGTTTTCGTTTTGTTTTCGTTGTTCCTCGCTCTTGTCTCGAATCCGCCTTCACCGCAAAACGACATCGAAACGAAAACGGCCCACGAAAATCGCCAAAACCACCGTGTTCAGGCCCAGCCCTGTCGGAGCCCACGAGTCCACCCAGATGCTTCTCGGAAGGCCGCGGGGCTTCCGAGCAAACCCGCCGCCCTCCGAAGAGGGCCTGCCCCCCCTCTCTCTGGGTGCCCCCCACGGGCGCGCGGCCGACGGGTGGCGGCTGCGAGGCCTCCGCGAAGGCTCGCGAGGGCCCGCGACTCGCTGCTGCTGCCTGCGAAGCTTCTGCGAGCTCCTGGGGGGGCTTCTTCGGCGCATCTGCCTCCGCGAGGGTTCTGAGCAGCTGCTGATGCTGGGGCGGGGAAGATCCCATCGGCCTCAGAGGATCTGCAGAGAAACCTGACCAGTGCAGCCTCGAGGACCCCCTGGGAAACCTACAGCATTCCAGCAGCCAAACAGCATCCGAAAGAAACGTACAGGTTCCAGAGGAAAAGCTGGAGGATTCCAAGAGAAACAGATGGGATCCCCACGGAAGCGTGGAGGATTCCTCGGGAACTTTTACAAAATCACATGGCCGCCTAGAAAATGCCAAGGGATACCTAACAGGATTACCGAAGAAACCGAGATGGCTGCCAAGGAAACCTAGAACCAGATTCCTGGAGGAAAGACAGCGGATTCCTGAGGGATTTGGACGGGTTCCTGAGGACCATGGGGCTCGTAGGATCACAAGGCAAACACGGTCCATCATGCTGATGGGGCCCCCGGCTCGTATGGCCCATACGGCCGAGAGGGCTCATAAAGCACATAGTGCAGAGTGCCCCTGGGGGGGTGCAGAGCTCACAGGGTCCATATTGTTCCTACAGTTCCTAGGGCCTACAAAGCTCATAGAGCTCGTGGGGCCCTCGGCGCTCAGAGAGGCTGCGGATCTCATGAGGATCATATGCCCACATGGCTGATAGGGTCACAGGGTTCAGATGGCCCAGGGGGGTCACAAAAATGATGTGGCCAATGGGACTCAACGCTGTGCGGCATTTGTTCAAATGATCCACGGAGTCCAGGAGTGCCAGACATTCGTGGGCTTTAGGACTGCACATTGTTTGAGTAACTCCAACAATGTACACCTGTGGCTTTGGGACTGGACCAGGAGACGGTGGCGCCTCTGCCAAAGGGAACTCGCAAGGCAATACGATGGTCCAAGCGAACACGCTCCTCTTTTTCTTCGCGCTGCCTGTCCTCGTCCTCACGCCAGCCCTCGCCCTCGTCGCCGCTGTCGTCGTCGGCGGCGTCGTCGCTTCTGCGGGCTCCGCGCGCCTTGGAGGAAGAGGCCTGCAACTCGGGCGAGCCAAGCGGCTCTGCCGACGAGGCGGGCTTCACGACGTCGCGGCGCTTCTCCAAGAACTTCTGGTACACCGGGCGGCTGCAGAAATTGTCTGGGTGGCGCTCGTAAACGCCTCCCGTCCCCCGGGGCGACTGGGCGAGGCGGGCGAGAAGGAGGGAGGACGGCAGGAGAAGGGAGGTGGCGCAGCCGGAGGAGGAGGAGGTAAAGGAGGTAGCGGGTAGCCCAAGCGGGCGGTGGGGCCCCCCGACATGAGGGGCCGAAGAGTCCCTCAAAAAGGGCTCTAAAGAAAATCAAATAATTTGAACCGCAGAATTGCCTCAAGACCACCAGTATTCTCAAGACGCTCCTGGAGCCCTAGAAGCCCCAAAAGCCTCAAGAAATCCCCACGTGGTCGCCAAGAGGCAATCAAGATGCTGCCCACGAGACCCCAAGAAACCTCCATGAGGCCTATGGTCCACGACAAAAGCACGGTCAAAGATGCCGAGAAGGCCCCTAGTCACCTGTTAGTCCCCTCGTAGCTAAACCGCTATGCCTCACAACTGTCGAACAACTACATCATGGCCCCGGTATCGCGACTCACAACAACTCAAATGCGCTGGCCACGCCATGCAATTGGATTCGGCCACGAGGCGAGATAAACACCCACGACCGTCTACTTCGGCAAGACGCGTCCCTGGACCGACGAATCTGGAACAAGTGAGATGGGCACGCCTGGACACAATGAAACTGAGGGGTGCGAAGATCCAGCACAAACCTATGACTGAATTTGACTGCAGCAAATTTGCGCACTGTTTCTTCGCTGGGTATTGTGACATGCTCAGGGCTTAGTCCGAACATTATCGCACCATGCTGGCAGTTCGAGCTACCACAATACGACGCACAACTCGGCGATGTCTAGCTAAATGATGAACGAACACAGTGTGGTGCATTCAACTGTACGTATCTGCTGCCGTCACAGTGACTTGCGCACAGCTTGTTCTATGTGTTCCCGCAGCGCAGCTGAGAACAATCGAATCACGATCTGCCCTTCGGCTACTGTCAGCCTACGGGTTAGCGTACTTGCTCAGTGGCGAGCGCCTGGCTCTCACCTCGATGATGAATGGATGGAGGTGTTCAGGTCAGATGGTTTTGCACAGTCGGAGCTCGCCAACTAACTTACCTGGGAAAAGCACTGCTTCTACTTGGGCCCGAGCCCGCACACCGACTCCGCCGATCCGGCAGGTGAGTTTCAAAAAGCTCAGCTCAAGCTAAAGCTCAAGTTTCAACCTAGGGCAAAAACTTCAGCTCAGCTGGGGGGGTGCCAAGGTGGCTTTGCCGGGGAAGCGGAGTTTGGGGGGTTGAGGGTGCGCCAGTTCTCCGGTTCCGGGGGGGGAGGGGGGGGGGGTGCGCCAGTTCTCTGGTCCCAGAGGGGGAAAGGGGGGGGGGGGTGCGCTAGTTCTCCGGTTCCAGAGGGGGTGGGGGTGCTCATTCCGTAAACGGGGGGGAGGGGTGGGTAGGGCAAATTCGTCAAAATCCGATTTGTTTTGTTACACTTGAAATTATCGCCTTTTCGGTTTTAAAAGCGCCGACGGCGGTCCAAGAGGCCCCCCAGATCGTCGCAAGACATCCCAATAAGAGGCCCCGAAGAGGAGCCAGTACGGCCCAAGACGGCCCCAAGATAGCTCACAGTCGGGGAACTCTCAAGACGACCCCGAGGGGCCCCCCAGTGGCCTTAAGAGGATGAACCCGAACTGACCCTTCCGGTCCTCCCTCCCAAGACAGCTCCAAGAGGCCCCCCTAGGCCCCCCAAGAGATCTCCAAGAGGTTCCCAAGAGAACCCCAAGAAGCCCCAGAAAGGCACCGAAGGCCCCCCAGAAGCCCCCAAGAGCCCAGAGGCCACAAGAGGCGCTTACTCGCGTGCTGCCAGGCAAGAGGTGCATGGTATGACGTGGTATGGCTCGGACACGAGTCGAGTCATGGTCGTCGTGCTCGTCGTCGTCATCATGTTCGTGTTCGTTTTAGTCGTCGTCGTCGTCATCGTCGTCGTCATCGTCGTCGTCATCGTCGTCGTCAATCGTCGTCGTTACCCCGTTCATCGGTCGTCGTAATTATCCCGCTCGTCGATCGCTGATCGTCCGTTGTCGTCGTCACCGTCCATTCCCGATAACATCAGGAGCGCCCCAGATCGGCGGCACTGGCCAGAGGCCACTACAATAATGCAAACGCAATGTATGCGCAAGAAGATGAGACACACAACCGATGAACCACTTGCAGTGCGCGTTCGGTATGCAAAAACGGTGTGCGGACGCGCATTCACGTCAAAGCAGCTTGCTTTATACCTGCAAGCTGTGTGTTGCAAAATGTTGCGATCATTGACAGTAACCTTCTTGACTGGATGGCATCCTGACCCCCATCTGATTTGCAGTGGTCAAGAACAAAACTATGGTCCCTGGATGGACGGGGCTCGCCGTTCAACCCCACATTGCCGCCGACGCCCTTGTGGCCAGTCACCTCGGGTGCGCTCCCCACCTGCATGTGTACATTCCATATCCTCTGCCGCTTTACGGGCCGTGGCGATGGACGCATGCGCGCATCCAAAGAACGTCTTGAAACAACATCGGGCGGCGGACAACTGCTTCCTCCGCCTCTTGTCCACTGCCCGATGCCCGTCTGTCGGATTGGCATCCCGTGAAGCTTTACGTTCTACAAGCAACACTCCGTCTTCTTTGTAATGTTTCTCATTCGCACTTTGCTGGGGTCTTAGCATCCCTCCTCTGTCATTCGACGTGCGCCCTGACTGTGTTCACGCCTCTCGGCCCCTTTGTATTCATCCACGGCTGCAGCCCAATGAACCGAGTTGGGTCTCAGGCTCAAGCACTCTCCATCGGTCCTCTCCTTAGCGGCATGAGCTGGATTCGCCGGCGCTGGCTTCGCTGACGCTGGTTTCGCCCCGCTGGTTTCGCCGACGGCTGGTTTTGCCGGCACTGGTTTCGCCGGAGTTGGATTCGCCGGCGGCTGGTTTCGCCGGCGCTGGATTCGCCGGCGCTGGTTTCGCTGACGCGAGCCCTAACGGGCGAGTCAGGTCGGGCGGGCGGGCCCTAGCGAGCGGGTCGGGTCGGGTCGGGTCGGGCGGGCGGACCCTGGCGGGCGGATCGGGTCGGGTCGGGAGGGACATGAAAGTGTGGGGCGCGCTCGACCGAGCACGCGCGAACCCTGACGGGTCGAGTCGAGTCGGGCGGGCGGACCCTAGCGAGCGGGACGGGTCGGGTCGAGCGGGGGGACCCTGACGGGCGGGTCGGGTCGAGCGGGCGGGACATTGAAGTGTGGGGCGCGCTCGACCGAGCACGGGCGAGCCCTGGCGGGCGGGTCGGGTCGGGCGGGCGGACCCTGACGGGCGGGTCGGGTCGGGTCGGAATGGACATGAAAGTGTGGGGCGCGCTCGACCGAGCACGCGCGAACCCTCACGGGCGGGTCGGGTCAGGCGTGCGGACACTGGCGGGCGGGTCGGGTCGGGTCGGGCGGGCGGACCCTGGCGGGCGGATCGGGTCGGGTCGGGAGGGACATGAAAGTGTGGGGCGCGCTCGACCGAGAACGCGCGAACCTAAACGGGCGGGTCGGGTCGGGTCGGGCGGGCGAACCCTGGCGAGCGGGTCGGGTCGGGTCGGGCGGGCGAACCCTGGCGGGCGGGTCGGGTCGGGCGGGCGGGACATTGAAATGTGGGGCGCGCTCGACCGAGCGGGCGGGTCGGATCGGGTCGGGCGGACCCTAGCGGGTCGAGACGGGTCGGGCAGGCGGACCCTGACTGGCGGGTCGGGTCGGGCGGGCGGACCCTGGTGGGTGGGTCGGGTCGGGCAGTTTCGCCGAGGGCAGCTGGTTTCGCCGACGGCAGCTGGTTTCGCCGACGGCAGGTGGTTTCGCCGACGGAACTGATTCCGCCGACGGAGCTGGTTTCGCCGGGCGGCGAAACCAGCCGGGCGAAACCAGCCGTCGGCGAAACCAGCGGTCGCCTCCCTAGCAGCTTGTACATCTCACCACCCATCCCGCGGGCACTGATCGTGACTCCCTGTATGTCTCTGGCCATGTTCCGACCGCACCTGTTATCACACAACGGACTTCTAACACCGACAAACTTACCGATCGACAACTTGCGGCACTGATTACGTGCTCCGCGTATTCATCCTCCCCTCCAACAACTCCGACCTTGCCGCGCCAGGTTCGCACTCCAAATCCGACTCTAGTCTCAAGAAACCCCATCGACGACCTAGAACGCCCAGGATTGCCCAATAGGCCCCCGAGATGACCCCAGGGCAGCCAAACAAGATACGCCGAAGTCGGCATCCAGGATGGCTAACTCACTGCCCGCGACCAGTCTCAGGCGGCCCAGACCCTTCAAACACATAATATAATGCGTTCAACCTTTGACACCGCATACGAGCGCCACAAGAAGACCCACGGAGGCCCCCAATACAACCCACGCTAGAACCAAGGCAGTTCCTCGTCGGCCCCCAAAAATCCACCCGAGCAACAACCTATACTTGTTTTGTTTGTTTGGTTCTCTCTTCTTCTTCTTGTTTTTCTCTCTCTCTCTCTCTCTGATGTGCCGAGAAGTCGAATCGGCAGGTTCGCAGGCCTGCATCGAGAATTCGGAGCCAGAATCGGCATCCGAAACCGAACCGAATCAGAATCGGAAGCCTTCGACGTCGAACCGAATCGGAGGAACCGAAACGAGCCTTGCCGCTGTGCCTCACAACCTCCGCCGCCCTCGCCCGACAATGAGCTCGGCGACCTGCTGTACGCCAAGCGTGGTTAACCTTAGGTCGGGCATGTCCCCCCAAAGGCAAATCTTGGACGGACAAAATAAACATAGTCGGAAACAAATGCTAGAACAATCATCCCCAGACTCTATTTCCCCACATCCAAAGTGGGGTTCTTGTTTTCTCTGGACACCCCGCGCAGGAACACTCACCCCCTCTTCTCCTCGCACTCATTCACACACACATCATCATCACTCGCACTCTCTCACACGCTCACGAACATCATCGTCATCATCGGTATCGGCATCATCCTCATTCAAACATCATCATCGCCACCACCACCCACAATCAATCATCATCCTCTTCACCACTCATCTTCACCACCACTCATCATCCTCATCCTCATCATCGTTGAGTAAAGTGTGAGGAAGTCTCAGGCGGGAGCCCCCTCCCTATGGGGCCCGCAGATCATGTTGGTAATCCGAGCGGGTCATCGGAACCCTGTAACTGTCGTCACTTTTGGGCTCCTCAAGCCTGAAAATGGAGGAAGTCTCAGGCGGGAGCCTCGTCTGTGAGTGAATTGGGAGGAAGTCTCAGGCGGGAGCTCCCTCCCTATGGGGCCCGCAGATTATGTTGGTAATCCGAGCGGGTCATCGGAACCCTGTAACTGTCGTCACTTTTGGGCTCCTCAAGCCTGAATATGGAGGAAGTCTCAGGCGGGAGCCTCGTCTGTGAGTGAATTCTGAGGAAGGCTCAAGCGGGAGCCCCCTCCCTATGGGGCCCGCAGATCATGTTGGTAATCCGAGCGGGTCATCGGAACCCTGTAACTGTCGTCACTTTTGGGCTCGTCAAGCCTGAATTTGGAGGAAGTCTCTGGCGGGAGCCTCGTCTTTGAGTGAATTGTGAAAAGTCTCAGGCGGGAGCCCCCTCCCTATGGGGCCCGCAGATCATGTTGGTAATCCGAGCGGGTCATCGGAACCCTGTAACTGTCGTCACTTTTGGGCTCCTCAAGCCTGAATATGGAGGAAGTCTCAGGCGGGAGCCTCGTCTGTGAGTGAACTGCGAGGAAGTCTCAGGCGGGAGCCCCCTCCCTATGGGGCCCGCAGATCATGTTGGTAATCCGAGCGGGTCATCGGAACCCTGTAACTGTCGTCACTTTTGGGCTCGTCAAGCCTGAATTTGGAGGAAGTCTCTGGCGGGAGCCTCGTCTTTGAGTGAATTGTGAAGAAGTCTCAGGCGGGAGCCCCCTCCCTATGGGGCCCGCAGATCATGTTGGTAATCCGAGCGGGTCATCGGAACCCTGTAACTGTCGTCACTTTTGGGCTCCTCAAGCCTGAATATGGAGGAAGTCTCAGGCGGGAGCCTCGTCTGTGAGTGAACTGCGAGGAAGTCTCAGGCGGGAGCCCCCTCCCTATGGGGCCCGCAGATCATGTTGGTAATCCGAGCAGGTCATCCAAAACCTGTAACTGTCGTCAATGTTGGGTTCTCGCGCTGCCAGAACGCAGTTCCCAGGCCACACTTTGGATGCAACAAGGAAGTTTTTGGGCTCCTCAGGTCGCCGAGGTGCTGCGACAGGGCGCCGAAGGCGCCGACGACGACGGCCAGGCCGAGGCGCGGGCGCGGAGCTTGCTGATGTTCAGGCCCAGCGAAAGGGAGTTCACATGGCAGAGCTCGGGGGCGCACAGCGTGCGCCGCTCGGGGTTCACCCTGACGCACGCGTCCTACCTGACCTCCACGCTGTCGCAGGGCCAGACGCTGCGCAAGGGCGTCACCATCGACTGCGCGAGAGACGAGGACGCTGGCCGCACGGGCATGTCGGACGAGCAGTGGTGGCTGCACCTCTACGTCATGTTCTCCCGCGCCACGTGCATGCGGAACATGCTGATCCTGCGGCCGCCGCCGCGAGAGTTCCTGGAGTGCGGGCCGCCGGCGTCCCTGCGGAAGGCGCTCCTGGAGTTCGACAAGAGAGCGGTTTTGTCCAGGGCGGAGGCGAAGCAGCTCGCGGCAGAGCTGGGCTTCGTGCTGCCTTCCGCCTGAGCGCGGCTGCGCCTCGCTCGAAGCCCGCGGGGTTGTCCCAACGGCTTGGTCTTGCGCGCCAACGGCTCGCGGGGTTGTCCCGACAGCCTGGCCCGCGGGGTTGTCCCAACGGCTGCGCGACGTGACCTGTAGAGAACGCGCCTGTGCTGGCCGTGGCGGCGACGGCGCCGAGGAACATCGACATGCGCGCTCATGCAACAGGAAGGGGAGGAGGTGGCGGGGCGCGGAACAAACAGGGGGGCGAGGATGGGGACAACGTAAGGAGTGGAAGGGGGGCCCGCGCCAAGGCGAGAGGAAATATACGCAGAAGAGACAGCCAGGACGCCTCACCAACCACGAGGACGACGGTGATGGCTTTTTCCAGATTCGCCCAGAGGATTCTTATGTGGGGTTCTTCCGTCGGAGTAATTTACTATTTTTGAATATCACCCTTTAGAGGGACAGGCCCGACTTAAGGCTAACCCGCCGCGCAGGGGCGCCCACGTCCTACGTACAGCTACCGCGCAGCTACGGCGGGCCTCGGACACGGATGCCACTGGCTCTGTGGGCCACGGCCGAAACTGGTGGTAAGGATGCGCGATAAGGATGCAGGGGGAGGAGGAAGAAGGAAGGAGGAGGAGGGGGAAGGGAGGAACGGAGGAACGGAGGAGGGGAGGAGGAGGAGGATAAGGATAAGGATAAGCGCATCGGAGGCAAAGGAGGAACCTAATCCCACCAGCC